GGGTTTATTCTCTTCGAAAACTGGAACATGAAGCTCCTTCACATAAAGGAGATCTTCCATCTTGCCTTTCCATATATGATAATTAGAACCATCCAAGCTGATCATCTTGCCAATATTTTCCATCGCTCACAAAAGCAAACAACCAATAACCCAAAGTTATCAAACAACAAAACTCTGATACCACTCTGTTGGGAAAATCAATAAGCACCGATGGCGCAACGGAATAAATTTCTCCACACTTATGTGAACCTGTGAGGAGAATATATATAATATGACACCAGCAAATCAAAGCAGTAACGTAAATGAGACAACAACTTATTTTACGTGGAAAACCTCCTCGATGTGAGGAGTAAAAACCACGGGACCGTAGTCCACTCAAAAATCCACTAGATCAAATTTGAGTTACAACCACGTCCTCCCTATTTCACAGAACAGATCCAGAGACTAAGACTCCGAAGAGTAATCTCCAACACAAGAAATACCACAAGAGAGCAATACAAGAGCCTAGAACAAGCAGTCCCAAAAGACCCTAAGTTCACTAGGATTCCGGTCRCCAAATAAGATCTCCACCGTACAAATCCTATATAAACAAGTCAGGAATACCTCTRCCAAATTTCAGCTCAATCCAAGAATAATTCACCGTCATATTTCCCAAACACTCAAGATAACTCCGACTGAAATCTGAACTCGCAACAGCAGCGAACTGCCTCACTAAAACTCATGTCTGCGACGAACCAACCATTGAAATAGAATCTCCACCGTTGAATATCAAGATCATTGAGTCACGAAGCTAACCTCAAAATTTCAGCCAAATCAGAGCACGTTAAAGCCTCCAAACGTTCTCTTGAACAAAATCTGACGAAACTGTTTTCTCTCCTTCTTTGGTTGCGGAAATGCCTCTCTTCTCTCTTGTTTCTCACGACTGCAAAATTAGGTTAGGAGTCATATATATACTCCCTCATAACCCTTAGCCCAATAACCAATTCKCATGGWTCAKAAGYCCAARTTTGGTCCATCTCAAACCAAACCCAATTGGTTTCTCCACTAGGAGGAAAACCATCACCATCTTCCCTGAGATCGGAAATGAGCTCTGATACCACTGATACGTTTTTGTTGTATAAAACCTTTGTAACCTTAAAAAAATACTATCAAGCTTTATTCTCATGATTCCAGAGTTATAATAACAGAAAATGTTATTAGGAGTTTCCTCTCGCCCTTCTCTCAACAACTTGATCCAAAAGATAGATAACAACAAAATGCAACAAACTCTCTGCTAAAATACTCTCCCTTCTCTGCTCACACATTCTCCCTTGGTGACGTGTCCTGCAGTGACTCATCTTCTAGAAGATGCCTTATACTGGATCCTAGGTAGATCCCCTTGGGCCTGAGGTGACATGGCCTGCTTCTTATTCTTCTTCCTCCGGTATTGGTAAAGTATCGGTGGATGGTTTTGCTCATACGTATCACTATACCCAAGCAATCACTATGCTAAATGTTTCAATAGCATGATCCTTGAATTCCATCTGACATCATAAATCATGAGTGGGATTGTCACTCCTCGAATCAAAACGGTGGTAACAACAATGGAAGCCCACCTGCAATGACAAAATACATGTCACACAACATCGAAGCCCATCTTTCTCTGGTAACAAGAAAGTGATCCAACACGGTTCCTCCAAGGACTATATATGATTGTAAAGTCTGTTTAAATAACTTACCAGTTTAAGCCAGTGAATGAATGCACATTGTCGATGATCTGCTGAGCGGCATCAAAATGAACCACAGAATCAATAGCACCATCGGAAACAACTCCGCTGACTGTACTGGTCTGCGAAGACACATCTTGCAGCACTGAATCGGAAAGAGTTCCAGCGACATGGGCACCACTCTCATCAGATCCTGGAACAGGTGAAGTCGAGAGAGACCGAAAGGTAGAGACACCAAAAGGAGCAAATGGAGACAGATGTGAAGAGCTTCTTCCTAGATGTTGAGAGAGAACCGAGCTGCTAAAGGATCTCGTGAGACATCTGTAAGAAGTTTGGTAGCAGCGAGCAGCACTGAACAAGGATCTGAGGCACAAACTACGTCTTAACGCCATTACAGAAGCTACTCAAAACCCTGTAAGCACTAAGATTAGTGATTTGGGAACAAGAAAATCAAAAGTCTCATAAGAATAAGCGAAGAAAAAGATTGATAACATTCATCATGTTTAGGCATCTCTAAAACAACAATCTAATCATAAACTTTCAACAACTACACAGATTTAGGATACCAATTTCTTAAACAAACTCTAAGATTCTGAGAATTTAGGATTAACCGCAATCTATATACAGAGCTCATCAGAGAAAACAAAACTCTCCTTAAAAGGAAAGACGAGAACCGAGAAAGCTGAATAAGCACTAATACAGTCGACGAGAGAGAGACGAACCTGATCGGGAACCTGCACGGAGACGAAGAACAAAGCGGAGGAGAAATTGGGATTTAGGGTTTTTTGTGGGATAATTACTCACAGATTTATGCTCATACTTTCTTCTGGGTGGGTAAAGCAGAATGTACGGTTTCATGCCTGCAACAAAAAGGATTTGTACAATCGCCCTGAAGAAGACGACAAATTTCAAGAATAGAAATGT